GGGAGTTCCCATAAAACTGTCAGCTGATTTCTCAAAAAAAAACTTTGCAGGTCAGAAGGGAGTGGCAAGAAATATTCAGAGTGATGAAAAGCAAGAACTTACAACCAAAATTACTCTATCCTGCAAAGCTGTCATTTAGAATCAATGGCCATATAAAGACTTTCCCAGACAAGAAAAAGTTAAAGGAGTTCATCACCACCAAACCGTTATTATATGAAATGATGAAGGGTCTTTTTGAAGAAAAAGATAAAATATATGAACAAACAAAATGTCAATGAATACATATCTATCGACAATGGAATCTACAAACAAAATGAACAGGCAGAACAAAAACATTCTCATAGACACAGAGAACATTTTGTTGGTTGCCAGATGGGAGGGGTCTTGGGGGAATGGGTGAAAAGGTGAAGGGACTAAGAACAAATTGGTTGCTAGACTGACAAACCTCAAAGAGAAGGGGGTTGGGTGGTGGGAAGAAATAAGCCAAAGAACTTATATGCATAACCAATGGACACAGAAAACAGTGTGAGAAAAGGTGGGAGGGGGGCAGGAGTGGGGAGGAGGGGGTCAATGGGGGAAAAATGAGGAACATCTGTAATACATTCAACAATAAAGATTAAAAAATAGGGAAAAAAAGCTGTGGTACATATACACAATGAAATACTATGCAGCTGAAAAAAAGGAAGAAAAGCTTACCTTTTGAAACTGCATGAATGGACCTGGAGATTATTATGCTAAGAGAAATAAGCCAGTCAGAGAAAGACAATATCACATGATCTCACTTCTCTGTGGAAAGTAAACTGACAAACAAAATAGGTCCAGAGACATGGATGCATGGAACAGACTGACAGATCTCAGAGGGAAGGGTTGTGGAGGGGACTGGAATAGATTAGTCAAAGAACATACATGCATATATGCATAGCCCATGAAGGCATGGTGAAGGCCTGGGGTGGGATGAGGGTTAGGTGGAGGGGGTTAAGGGGGGTGTGAAATGGGGGACATCTGTAATACTGCCAAAAATAAAAATAAAACATTTTAGAGAGAGAGAAATAACTGGGAGAAGAGGATAGGCAAGCCAAAGAATGCAATTCTCCTGCCTAAATAACACTACTGATTTATTATTAGTCATACTAGTTTCCAAAATTCAGTTATTTCCATGCCAGTATAATGAATATTCCCATAGATGCATTCTAACTGTATAATTATATAATCAAAATTGTCTTTACATTTACTATCCTTTTAATGTAAAAAAATTGTTAAAAAGTAAAATACATAATACATATCATTAACAAAAATATCTATAAATAATAGAAAATTTTCTGAAGTTCACAAACTATATATACATTTATTTTTCAAAAACTCCTTATACAAAAAAAAAAAAAATCCTTTTTCCAGAAATGGTAAAACTTGAGTTGATTCTGTCCCTGTGTGACCCATATTTCAAATACTGAGGACAAACAGAAGCAACATTCACTCTAGCTAACCAACAATAAACTTCTAAAATCTCTGATTTCATTCCAACATCAAATAAGCACTAGGACAAATTCATTAATTGATGATCCCAGTCATTTTGCAATTTTCCTGCTAGAAAAATTTGCCTGGATCTCTCCAAGTGGTAATAATTTCCAAACCCAATCCGACTTTTAATATCTCAGTAATTGTCCTAACTATACAATATTAAATAAATTACCCAGTTAAAGAAGACTCGGCTCCCACTGAGAGGCAATAGATGAAAGAAAAGTAAGATCTGTTTACTAAATCAGAATCAAACTCTGAAAAGCAGCATAAAGCAGAGAAGCCTGAGACTGAGATGTGATTGAGAACCTGAAGATCCTCTTGTTCAAAAGAGAGTTTGCGAGATTTACTTTGCACCAGCCTCATAAGGACTACTTTCCTGTCACTATCCCCTCGGATCTAGGTGTATATCAACTCATTAATCCCAGTGCCAGCACTGTGCTAGAGTCAAGTAGGTGGATCTGGGACAGTTGAGAAATATATTTTTTCATTTAGATATAAACCCAGGAATATAATTTACAAATCTAAATCAGTATCCAAATGACAGCATAGGAAATAAAGTGAAGATCTGCAGGATAAAATTCTTGCACTTCTACTCTCTGTCAATCCAGAAAAGACTCATTCAGAAATAAATGCCTAGCACCTTTCACAAGAGGCTGTGAAAATTATGTAATGTGATCAGAGTAGAAAGAGCAGAGGGACTACAGAGAAATGAGCACATTAAATGGAGAGTTTGTTTTGGTGTCTTAATGACTACCAAAGGGATGGGCACTTGTGGGTAAGATAAAGAGCTCATATGCATTGAAAAATGTGAACTATTATGTAAATAAAATAGAAAACCTCCTCACCACTATGAAATCAGTGTGAGGTGGAAGAAACAAAGCAAAGAAATAAAAAAATGATTATATACATTTGTAGATATAAACAATAGGGAAGGTTAATACACTTTACTACCCAGTTATCTCCTCTGTTATTAAGGGCAAAGTACTGAGTTTATGTTTACATGGAAGCAGTAAAAATTAAACTTGAAAAATTGTACAAATATAAGAAAAGGCTAAAGTGACCAAAATTAAAATATAGAATGAACCAATCACCACAAAAGAACTCCTTTATGCTACCTCTTTGTATTCACTCTCACCTTCGACCCCACTTCACCCCTCTCCCTATCACCTGGCAACTGCTAATCTGTTCTCCATCTCTATTGTTTTGTTATTTTAATGTTATATAAATGGAATCATATAACCTTTGGATATAACCTTTTACAATTGACTCTTTTCACTAAGCATAATATTCTTGAAGCCCATTTGTATTGTTGTTTGTATCAGTAAGTCATTTCTCTTTTATTGCTGAAAAGTATTCCATTGTATGGATGTATCAGAGTTTGTTCAACCATTGATCCATTGAAGACATTTGGACTGTATCCAATATTTTGTTATTACAAATAAAACTGCAAAGAATATGTGTGTACAAGTTTTGTGTGAACATAAATTTTTATTTCTCTGGGATAAATGCCCAAGAATGTAATGATTACATCATATGGTAAGGCAAGTTTAGTTTGAAGAAACTGCCAAACTGCTTTCCAGAGTGGCTATAGTCCCACCAGCAATGTATGAGAACCAGTTTCTCTGTGTTTCATCAGCGTTTGATATGATCACTACTGTTCATCTAAGCTGCTCTAATAGGTGTATAGTAGTCAACCTGTGCCTTTTAATTGGCTCATTTGGCCCATTTACATCTAATATAATTATAATATGGTTGGATTTAGCATTACCATTTTGCTCTCTACTTTCTATTTGTACTATCTTTCTTTGGTTTATCTTTTTTTCTGCCTTCTTTTAAGTAAATTGAATATATGTAATATTCTTTTTTAGTTCCTCTACTGGATTTTTAGCTATATATCTTTACATCAATTTTTAGTAGTTTCTCTAAGCATTAGAACATGCACCATTATCTTATCACAGTCTCCTCAGAGGTAATATTGTACTACAGCAGGCAAAATATAAGAACTTTGCAACAATATGGTTCTATTTACTTTCATCCTTGGTGCTGTTGCTGTCATATGTATTACATCTCGCATGGATTTTGATGACTATACTACATCTTCATGATTTTTGCCTCAAATAGTCATATATGTTTTTAGAAATTAAGAAAATACGATCTTTTATAGTTTCTTGTATGTTTGCCAGTTACAGTTCTAATAATTAGTTCCTGTAGAACTATTTAAATCTACTGTTATTTCCAGCCTGAAGAATTTCCTTTAGCATTTTTTGTAGTGAAAGTCTGTTAATAATAAATATTTTCAGTTTTCATTTATCATGACATTCTGACTGCTTTGTCACTATTGCTACTAAGCAGAGAAGTTTTCTGGCTTTTGTTGTATGTATTCCTTCTGAATCTCCTCTGTCTAGGCCTTCTCTTCCTTGTTTTCTTGCCCTCTGGATGCAGGTCCTCTATCAATTTGCAGTAAAGAGAGATTAGTTAATATAATTACTTAGAAGGCTTTATAATTAAACAGACAAGAAATGGCAATGTCCTGAAGAAATAAGAGAAAGTATACCCTGGTTGGTTTGGCTCAGCGGTTAGAGCATCGGTCTGTGGACCAATGAGTTGCAGGTTTGATTCTGTCAAGGGCACATACCTTGGTTGCAGTTCGTCCCCAGCCCTGGTCGGGTCATGCGGAAGGCAACCAGTCCATGTGGCTCTATCACATGGATGTTTCTCTCTATCTCTCTCTCCCTCCCTTCCTCCCCCCCACTCTATGTGATAATAAAGAGAAAAGTATCTTCCGGTGAGGAATTTTTTAAAAACGAAAGAAAGAAGAGAAAGTAATTGAGAGGAAGGTCTGAAATTAAACGGATGTGATAACCATCTAGATGTGAGAAAAGAGTGAGAAGACTCTATGAGCTTGAGCAACTCATGATAAAGAAGCCTAGGAAATTAGAGATGAAGAAGGAGGAGGAGGAGGAGGAGGAGGAGGAGGAGGAGGAGGAGAAACTGTTATATAGAATTACATTTTTAATTGTTCCATGAAAGTTTGGGTAGGATAGGGAAAGCCATATTCATTCTCTTACTAGCCAAACTTTCACTCTCATCTTTGAAAATCACACCCAAGTCTGATTTTTAGAAATTGTTTAAACACAGATGACATCACATTTCAGGAAAGAGCATACATGAACATTCAGGATTTTTTTTTTTTCATGAGTTCATCTTGCTAGGAATGAGGTATGGACCAAGTTTAGACTCCCTTGTCTAAGCAAGAGTGACTTGGACCATCTGTGAGCCTGGGCAAAGTAATGCCTTGAATAACTTACAGGGGAGATGAGAAAACAGGTAAGTTCTGGATTTCCTCTTAGGGAAACTGACTGAGAACCAATCCTCTAGGAGCAACTGGACCAAACTTTATAAATTATCAACAAAGCAAACAGTACTTTATTCAGAATATTTAATTTGAGCAATTTCCATATCATACAATTATAAGTCAGCACTACTCTGTTGGAATACAGGCAGTTAGAATATCTGAGGCTTCATCTCTTTTATAATACAACACCATGAAAAGCCACTGCAGCTGTTCCAGGAACACTTAGTTCAATGTCATCATACCCAGGGTCCTCTTTTTGCCCCTGGTCTTCTTTCCCAGGATGAGCTGCCCCTGTAGGGAAGTGCAGAGGGGAGCCTGCAACAGTAAAGAGAAGTTTAATTAGAACTGTGAAAGAACAGAACAGTGCCCCGTGGTAGAAGCAAATCTAGTAAATGGTAATAAAATAATACATCTCTGCAAACCCATTAATGCTCAAGTAGGCTCAGACTACTTAATATTAGTTACAGCAAAGGTGTACTAGGGCTATCCTATCAGAATCCAGTCTTCATGGGTCTCTGGGCTACAGCTTATCTGGGAAACATTGGCTCATGGGAGATCTGTGACCAACACAAAAGTGCTATCTGAAGACTTTCCTGGCTACACAATCAGCAGGGAGATAGTTCAAGAATGGTAAAATCATATGATAGGATGTAAATATTTCTCATTTCACAATTGTCATGTCTGAGTTCACAAGGAGAAGGAGACAAGAGACCACATCTCAGTTCTTCACTGAAAATCTAACTCTGCTCTTGGTGGCCTTGACTTGTGTTCTCAGATGCCAACAAAAACAATCACAAGATTCTTGCACAGTTTCCCCTTCTCCATGGGATCACTTGAGCCCTCAGATGGACAAACACTCTTCTCTGGAGAATGAGTGTCTTCATTTGGCCACTGAAATGTCTGGAGCACATTAGACCTTAGCTGCCTACAAATTATGAGTCTATAATCTACCATAGTGGCTTTCATTTTTAAGGCCACCATATATCATAGACCTCGTACATATTAGTGCTAACATATGATAATAGTGCATCTCAAATTATCAAAATGTCTCACAAATTCCAATAGTGTAATATTTTTAAATCTCTAACTGCTTTTCTTGTATGAGACAATACAAAAATTTTACCAGAACAGTTTTTCATTTTTGGATTTGATGAATACGCTCAATTAATCTACAAGTGTTAATGCAGGCGCATCGAGGACAAAATACAAAGACTACAGCTTGCTTCCTCCCTCCCAAGGAATCTGAAAACATTAAAGAAAGGAATATAGTCTAATGCTATCAAACATATGAGGCCATCCAAATTTTGAATCTACAAGAAGAATGGGCATTGAGAAGATCAAATCGTCCTTTCCAGGCCAGAGACAAAATATGACAGGGATCAACGAATCCCACTTACCTGTCTGAGAAGCTCCCACTCCATTCTCTTCTGGGGGCACTTCCCCCTCGCTCATCTGAGAGGCAGAAGGAGCCTTGGGCCCTGGTACCTCTTCAACATCATCGTAAACTTCACTAAAGGCATCAGTCCTCTGAGCTGGGGGTTCCAAGGGCAGACAAGGGGGTCAGGTGAAACCACAGTAAATGGGTTGATTTAGGTAATATCTAAAGTCCTTTCTGACCCAGAGATTCTGATGGCTGCTAAACAGAGGCACCATTCATCCCATGAGTAAACGGTTTTTTTTCCAAGGCTATATATTTCATTTTTATGTGCCAATAAACCAGACAATTACCCAAATATCTCAATATGTATTGATTAAAATTACATTTTTTTAATTACCCAATGTTTTAATTTATTTTTGTTACAGATATTTCTCCTTTCCTCTATTGACACCGCCCTCCCCATCCCCGCCCCACCCCCCCCCCCAGCATTGTTGTCTATGTCCATTGTTTACACATACATGCATATAAGTTCTTTGGTTTATCTCTTCCCTGCTCCCTGCCCCCTTCCTCTGAAGTTTGTCAGTTGAACTGTACTCCTTTCTATGTCTCTGGGTCTATTTTGTTCCTCAGCTCTTTTTGTTCATTATATTCCACAAATGAGATCATGTGGTATTTATCTTTCTCTGATAGGCTTATTTTGCTTAGCATAATACTCTCCAGGTCCCTCCATTTTCAAAGCAACGCTTACATGAAAAAGTATTACTAGAATGTTTTATCAGATTATACTTTCCAGATGTTATATTTTTAAAGAGTTTGTGCCTGTTTTGACTGAATGGTGGTGGTTCTGGACACTGAGAGCCTGGCCCCAACATAAGGCACTTCAGAGCCACCAGAGAAGAGAAAGACTGGACCCCAGCGAGATGAGAGACCCCTCTAATCTTGGTCAGAGAAAAACTGTTTCCCTTAGCTCTCCTCTCTGAAGGAAGTACCTCTGCCCCCACTATCCAGGCAGACAGACCCACATTTACTATCTAGACAGATTTATAATTACTGTTCACCTCATCATCTCTGGCATAATATAGCAGTTTTGTCACTGAGTCATCTGACAGGAACCCTAATGTGGAGACAAACATCACAAAAACAAATAAAACAACCTTTACCACATCCGTAGGCTCCACAGTAAGGCTGAGAAGAAATGCCAGGGCTAGCATAGCTCTGGTGACGTCAAGGGAAGCTCAGAGTTCACGGGAGCTCTGGAGAGGCCCATCCTGCCTCTGTGAGCCTGGGGTATATGTGGGGTCTGCAGATGCTGAGAACACCTAGTTTATAGCCAGCAGATGGCTGAGAAGTAGAGGTCCTAGGAAGGTAAGGCAGGGACACTCACCTGGTCTGCTCAGTAGAGCCTCTTTCTTTGGTGTTACATAATAACCAATCTCCTCATATGTGGCCTCGTCAAGAGCATCTTCGAAACTGGATAAAGCTGAGCAAATTCACCAGCAGGTCAGAGATTGCCTCCTGAGTCACCCCTGAACTAACAGGCTGGCCCTTCATTGTCCCCAATGCTCACACATGGAAAAACCCTCATGGCTTCCAGGACCAGTACAGTCTTAATCCCATGCACCATGTCTGCACCTTCTACCTTTGTCTGACCCTGTATCCAAAGATCAGCTCCTACTCTTCTTGTCTCACATGAAAAGCCATGATTTATGAATGCTCACACTCTACTCTTAAGAACGTTTGTACATTTAGCCCTTAGCAGCTAACATGGGGCAGATGGATTTGCAAACTAATGGGGTAAGAATGGATCCTTGTCCAGTTTTTCCCTTGTCACCCCTGGCCCCATTTCCTGCCTCCATACACTTTCTTGTTACCCAGGACCCACGACAGCCCACCTCTGCACTCCACTCTCCATCTGTGCAGAAGAATCACCAGGATGATGATGACCAGGAAGAGAAGGGCCCCCAAGATGAGGCAAAGGATCTCAGGCAAGGAGAAAATGCTTGGGCCAGATCTGGTCCCTAAAAAGAAAAAAGCCAAGAGAATATGGAGACAGGCATATATACAGGGAAACTCACTTATGCCAGCATTTCCAGGGAGCTCAGAACAGTGAAGTCTCGGTTTCCAACATAATGAGGTTGACTAGGACCTTGGTGGGCACTCCCCCAGGCAGTGTCCTAAAATAAATTCAACTTCACTCCACTGTGGTCCAAGGGAGTGCTGGGGATCAGCAGGGCAGCTCCAGGACTACAGCAACCTCTGAGGTCCAGGGCACAGTTTTGGCCCCTTCTCTTGGGCTTCACCAGACCAGAGATGAATCAAACAACCTTGGTGTAAGTGTCTGCTGCTGAGGGGCAACACTCATGAGCAGGTGAAAAAAATCTTCAATTTTATTCATAATAGCCAGACTCCTATGGTCTGAGGGCATGAGAAACTTCTGGCACAGTGAAACAAGGAAGGAGAAGTCTCTCCAAGGAAAATACCCTGTACCTCTCCACCACTCCTACACTCCTCAGGATTTCCTTTCTTGAGTTGGCTAATTCTCTCAGAGATTCTATAAAATGTGTCCCAAGAATTTAAACATTCTCCTCCACACATGGATGGTGGCACTGTACCTGCTGTAGTGGTGAGCAATGTTCTTTCACCTAGAGCAGTGGTTCTCAACCTTCCTAATGCCGCGACCCTTTACTACAGTTCCTCACGCTGTGGTGACCCCCAACCATAAAATTATTTTTGTTGCTATTTCATAACTGTAATTTTGCTACTGTTATGAATCACCATCAGAAATATGTGTTTTTCGATGGTCTTAGGTGACCCCTGTGAAAGGGTCATTCAAACCCCAAAGGGATCGCGACCCACAGGATGAGAACTGCTGACCTAGAGAGAAAAACAGGAGTTTGGAGCACAGGAATTGGCCAGAACACAGGGTAACCCACTTTTCCCACCTGAACCCTGAAATCACCCCTTAGTTACCACAATATCAATATTGAGTCCTCCCAGCACCCCCTCTCCTGGATCCAGGACTACAGTGCCTGGATGCTTTCTGAATACAAATTACCCATCTTGCCGCAGCTCAACCAGAGCCAGACCCACACTCCTCCACTCACCAGAGCACCTCACGCCAGCATCCTCCTCATGCTTGCAGTTGCTCTGCCCCCAGGGCTCTGAAGCACAGGTCCACAGGGAGGACACCCCGCCCCTGCAATGCACCTCATCCAGCCAGATGATCCCATTTCCTGGGCCAAATGCCGCCTCCTGCAGGGCTTCCAGGGCAGAGCCACAGCCCAGCTGCTGACACACCACCTCAGCCTCTGCCAGGCTCCAGGAGTCATCACACACTGTGCCCCAGAAGCCATTGTGCCAAACCTCCACTCGCCCTGAGCACTCGGTGTCTCCATCCTTGAGTCGGAGCTTGTCTTTGTCTGAAAAGACAGCAGCACCTCCTTTTACCACCCCTGGTGGGAAGAAAGGAGCCCTGGGATCCAACAGGGGAGGAAGGAGAGGCTGATGTACCTGTGCAGGGGGCAGCAGTAGGACAGTCGTTCGGTCTCCCTGCAGAAACAGACAACAGGGAAGTACTGGATCAGGGACAGCTGGGCATGTTCTTGCCCTCAACAGATTATTTAAGGTCCTTGGTTCAGTCCAATGACAAGTGAAAACACAGGCTTCATCATAAATGGGCCGAGTTACTGAGACAGTCACTGGATCCTACTCTCTATCACCAGCTGAAACTGCTTTACCTGTTTACTTGTTTATCACTCTCCACATTTCACAACACAAACACACACACACACACAAATAAAACATAAATACCTATATGAAAGCTCACCCAGAGGAAGGACCTTGCATATCTTATTCAGCTCTGTGTCTCTACTATTAAGATAGTGTCTGGCACATTATATGCATTCATTCAATGAGTATTCATTAAGAATCTTCTATATATACTATGTATAGGCATTTGATCAACATTTATTGAATGAATCAACCAGAGAATAAAATCCAGTGAAATATAATTCACTTATATTCTTACTAATCAGTAAAATAAAAAAGAAATAGATAGTGGATATTAAAAAGTAAGTCCAGAAGCGCGGAAGTAATTTATATTCAATACTTCACTTAAGCTTTTTATTTGTTTTAATCCTCACCTGAGGACACTTTTTTTTCTATTTATCATCAGATAGAGTGGGAGGGGGAGAGAGAAACATTGATGTAAGAGGGACAATTGGTTGCCTCCTGCACGACCCTGACCAGGGCTAGGGACAAACCACAAATGAGGTATGTGCCCTTGACCAGAATCAAACCCATGACTCATTGGTCTGCAGACCAACACTCTAATTGCTGAGCCAAACCAGCCAGGGCCCAATGATGCTTTTTAAAGGGAAGTTATACAACAGATTGTAAACTTACCTATTTTTCAGTGCGAGATATGGACAAGCAAAAGAAAATTACCAAAGGGACAGGATACTTTTTAAAGGACTAGAACAAATAAAATTTAGAGAAAGATAGATAAGTAGCTAGTTAATTAGACACAAATGTTGGCATAAGACTCAAATAAACACACTAAGAAAAATTATGGCAAGAACACAAAGGGATTCCAAAATGGCAGTGGAGTGAATGGAAGCTATACAGACCATCTCCCAGGACCAAACTGGAATTACAACTAAAATAAAGGCAAATCATCAGAAAATGTCAACAGAAAAGTAACTTGTGAGGACCATATAACCAGGGATACTGAATCAATCCTGGTATTATTGCAAAGATGTGAGACAGGGACTGGGAACCCACAAACAGCAGCAGTTTTAGCTGTGAGCAGCACCCTCAGGGTTAAAATCGCTGCCAGCTCCACAGTGCAGAGGTGGGACAGAGCACTAGATTGGCTACAGACACTCAGCTGGGGCTCTGGCAAAAGGAGGGCGGACTGGACTGGAACTGTGTGAGGGGGCTCAGAGCTTTGGCTGAGTTGTGGCCACACAAAATGATGGCCATTGTACTCCTTTCCAGGGCTCTGGCAAGAGGTAGAGGCCCCTCCCTCAAAAATTTACCACACCCAGGTGGGCCAAAAAATGCAAATTGAGGCTCATTAACAACCAGCATCTGCCCCATCCTCGGGAAATCCTTTTACACTGAACACATGAGGGAATTTATCATTTAACTGAATACCCAAGGCTCTTCAAGGAACCAAGACTAATAGCTTCCAGGCAAATAGCTATCAAAGATTAGATAAATGAAATGCAGTTAAGCAAGTTATCAGAGGTAGAGTTTACAGCCATGATCTTGAGGAAGCCAAACAGCATGAGTAAGGACATCAACACCATGAATAAAGACATAGAAACATTAAAAGTCAACCAATTAGAAATTTTAAAACACCGAGTAAAAATGAAGAATGACATAGCAGAAATAAAGAATACATTGGAAGGACTAAACAGCAGAATAGAGGAAGTAGAGGACCAAATTAGTGAATTAGAAGACAGGGTAGAAAAATCAACCCATCAGAAAAAATAAAAAAATAAAAAACAAAAAGACAACTTAAAAGAACTGTGGGACAACTGGAAATGTAATAATATTCAGATCACAGGACTCACCAAAGAAGAAGAATATAACCAAAGGTTGGAGAATATATTTGAAGAAATACTGACAGAAAACGTTCCTAATTTGGTGAAGAAAGAAGGCATTCAAGTTCAAGAAGCACAGAGAGCCCCAAGTAAAAAGAACCCAAATGGGCCCACACCAAGACACATAGCAATTAAAATGACAAAAAATAAAACAAAGAGAGAATCCTAAAGGCCGCAAAAGATAAGCAACAGGTTACCTACAAAGGAACTTCCATAAGGCTCTCAGCTGACTTAACAGAAACACTACAGGTCAGGAGGGAATGGCAAAAAGTAATCAAGGTCATGAAAAACAAGGATCTGAATCCAAGACTACTCTACCCAGCAAGGCTATCATTCAAAATAGAAGGTCAATAAAGATCTTCCCAGACAAAAAAAAAAAAGGCTAAGGAAATGCATTAGCACCAAGCCAGCATTACAAGAAATGTTAAAAGGACTGCTGTAATTAGTAGAAAAATAGGACGTAAAATATAACCACACTAAACAAAAATGGCAATGAATAAGTAGATATCAATATTCATCGTAAATGTAAATTGTTTGAATGCTCTGATAAAAAGACACAGAGTAGCTTACTAGATAAGAAAGCATGACTCACATATATGTGGTTTACAAGAGACCCACCTCACAATAAAAGACTCACATAGGTTGAAAGTAAAGAAATGAAAAAAATCTTCCAAGCAAATAATAAAAAATAAATAAAATGGGGTAGCAATATTCATATCTGATGAAATAGATTTTAAAATGAAGGCCATAACTAGAGGCAAAGAAGGTCACTACATAATATTGAAAGGATCTATCCAACAGGAAGATATAACAATGATAAACATATATGCACCCAATAGAGGAGCACCAAAATTTATTTAAAATCTTCTGGAGGACTTCAAAGGAGAAATCGACAGCAATACAATCAGAGCAGGGGACTTCAACACCCTGCTAACATCATTGGATAGATCCTCCAGACAAAACATTAACAAGGAAACAGAAACTCTAAATGAAGCACTAGACCAAATGAGTTTAATAGATATCTACAGAGAATTACAGCCCAAAACCACAAAATTCACATTCTTCTCAAGGGCACATGGGACTTTCTCAGAGATATACCACATGTTAGAACACAAACTAAATCTCTACAAGTTCAAGAAGATTGAAATCAAATTAGCATCTTCTCAGATCAAATGGCATGAAACTAGAAATCAATTGCAACAAGAACATGCAAAGACATTTCAACACATGCAGGCTAAATAGCATGTTATTAAACAATGAATGGGTCACCAAGGAGATCAAGAAAGAAATTAAAACTTACTGGGAACCAATGAAAATGACACAACAACACAAAATCTATGGGATGCAGTGAAACCAGTTCTCAGAGGGAAGTTCACAACACTACAGGCTTACCTCAAGAAACAAGAAAAATTTCTAATAGACTAACCTCACAACTTAAAGAACTAGAAAGCAAACAAAAAGAAAACCCCAGAGCAAGTAGAAGGAAGAAAATAGTAAAGAACAGAGCAGAAATAAATGACATACAGACCAAAAAAATAATTCAAAGGATCAATGAAACAAAGAACTGTTTTTTTGAAAAGATAAATAAGACTGATGGACCCTTAGCTAGACTGATCAAGAAACAAAGAGAGAGAACTCAAATACACAAAATCAGAAATGAAAGAGAAGAAGTAACAACTGACACCACAGAAATACAAAGAATCATTAACAAATACTATGAATAATTATATGGCAACAAATTTGACAAACTCAGCTAAATGGACAATTTTCTAAAAACACATAGTCTCCCAAAACTGGACAAGGAAGAGATAGAAAACTTAAACCAAACAATAACAGCTATGTAAATTGAAGATGTAATCAAGATTCTTGACTGAGAAAACAGTGGTAGAGTGAATGGAAGCTACACAGATAATCTCCCAGGACCAAATGGGAATTACAACTAAAATAAAGAAAAATCATTGGGAAAAAGCAACAGAAAAGCAGCTTGCAAGAACCTTATAAACAGGGACACTGAACCGATTCTGGTAAAATTGCAGAGGCGTGAGAAGGGGGCTGAAAGCCCACTGACAGCAGCGGTCTTATCTGTGAGCAGCACCCTCAGGGTTAAATTCCCAGCAGCTCCACAGCATAGAGACCTGGGACAGAGCTCTAAAATAGCCACAGCCACTCACCTTGGGCTCCAGCAGAGGGAGGGCAAATTGGACTGGAGCTGTGTGGGGACATTCGGGATTTGGAGGGCTTTTGCTCAGAGCTTTTGCTGAGTTTCGGCCCCACAGAATGGTGGTTATCTTGCTCCTTCCCAGGGCTCTGCAGAGAGGTGGTGGCCCTTCCCTTGAAGATTTAACCCCACCCAGTGGGTCATTGAAATGCAAATTGAGGCTCATTAACAACCAGCATCTGCCCCACCCTCGGGAAATCACCTTACGGCTGAACACCTGAGGGAGTTTTCATTTAACTGAGAAGCCAAGGCTCTTCAAATAACCATGACTAATAGCCTCCAGGCAAAAAGCTAGAGGATAGCTGAACCATTCCTGGGCTTGCAATTCTATCCAGGAAAGGAAGACTTGACAGTGGTGTTTAACGTGGGTCCACCCACGCTCATCCAAACCCAGTAGAGGGAGCCACAAACAGCAGAACCCCAACACCCACAGAGAACATTTGGCAGGCTCCAAAGCCCACTGAGATAGCCAAAATGGTGAAACAAAGAAACAAACCACAAATGAAAGAACAAGAGACCTCTACCGAAGATCAGATAAATGAAATGCAGTTAAGCAAGTTAACAGAGCTAGAATTCAGAGCCATGATTTTGAGGAAGCTCAACAGCATGAGTAGGGACATAAACACCATGAGTAAAGACATAGAAATATTGAAAATCAACCAATTAGACATTAAAAACCACCAAGAAGAAATGAAGAATGACATAGCAGAAATAAAGAACAC